CAGCAGTTTCAGCTTGTGTTTCTTTTGCTCCATCCTTTATTCAAAGAACTAATAAAGAGGAATATTGAAACATTTTTAGATTCCTTTCTTTCTACAAAATCGTATTTACTTTTGCAATTCTTGGCACATTCAACTATTCTAAAGAGAAGTCAAATCTACTCTTACAAATGAGTTTAGAGTTTCGTATGTATGTAGTACAGTAGAAGGAAAAGGAAATGAAATGAGTTACATGAATTATTTAATACTACACAATATGAGGAATGATTATATTTTTAGTGGAGTGAGTACCAATAAAAACTGGGCAGGAGTTGGTGAGCGTGCATATAAAGGAGCCTTGCTTAGCACGGCTAAACTATTTTTTATTTTTAATTCAAAAGCAATTTTAGGTTCAGACCTGACTATGTTGCTCAAAATGTTACAAGTGGCCCCAAACATCTCCTTATCTCTGTACTTTACAGCTAACACTCTAATTTACCTTAGCCACTCCGAAGTTGATGTGGCAAAATATCTCCAGAAATCAGATGTTAATCACTATCTTAAAGATATTTATCGAAAAATGTAGGTTAAAAATCTCTTTTCCTCCCTTACATGATTTAATATTTTCAATTTAGTGTCACTTTAATTTTTTGTCTCAATTTGGTCCTTAATAACTTAAATTAGTGCAATTTGGAACTTCCGTCCAAATGATTTAGACGGAGTTAACTGTTGGCCACGTGACATCTATGTGGATGCCACGTGGATGCGTACGTGGATGCCAAAATTCTTGAAAAAACCTGAAACTAGAACGGCCCGTTCTGAATTTAGAACGGCCCGTTCTGAAACTAGAACGGGCCGTTCTGATAGTAGAACGGACTGATCTGGTTTTAGAACGGGCCGTTATGCTTTTAGAACGGGCCGTTCTGAATTCAGAACGGCCCATTCCAGAACGCCATGCTTTTTATTATATATTTTTTTTATTACATCTATATTAATAAATATATATAATAAATAAAAAATACAATAAATTAATATTCATTTATGAATAAAACTAAAAAAAATCAAATAAGATAAGACCTTCTAAAATATTTATTTGATTTAAATTTATCCAGTTCAAAATCTTGACTAAAATGTCGCAATGTATTTAAAAAGTTGAAAATAAAATTCAGGGTTTAGGGGTACCTCCTCAAGAACAGGTTGTTATTGTTGGGGTACATCGTCAATGACTTTAAGGAAAAACACTGTTTCGTTTTATCGTTGACTATATAGTGTCAATTTGGTAGTAAGTAGTTCACTCCGGTTTGACTAACAATGAAATAAAACTTGTTATCATTGTCCTTAGTGATACACTGCATCATCTTTAATGATATACTGTATAACCCAAATGTTTAGCGATTGAAGTTATTAATCCTCATTAACAATATTATTAAATCTAGTGTTTGAAATGTTTTGTATTTTCCCTAAAAAAAATGCTTTGTACTTTGGTTTTTTTTCACGAAATTCTGGACCAGAACGGCCCGTTCTGGTTACACTGTTGATGTGTTAATTTTGGACTTGGAACAACCCATTCTAGGTGTAAATTTTACACATCAATAATGTAACCAGAACGGACCGTTCTGGTTTCAGAACGGGCCGTTCTGGTTCCAGGTGTATTCAAGTATTTTTTGATCCACCTACGTGGCATCTACGTGGCATCCACCTGACATCCACGTGACCACCAGTTAACTCCATTTAAATCATTTGGACGGAAGTCCCAAATTGCAACGATTTTAATTATTGGGAACTAAATTGAAACCAAAAATTAAAGTGAGACTAAATTGAAAATATTAAATAATGTAAGGGACGAAAAGAGGTTTTTATCGAAAAATGAAAAAGCTTTAATTAATAAAATATTTATTATGTTAAAGCACAATCCATTTTCAAATAATTAGTTATCTTTATTTAATGTTTATTAATTATATTGATTAATAAAATCCATTTTCTTACATAAGCTTCCCGCCAAAATGGGCTTTGATCAACGATCATCCATCCAAAATTGATTTGAGCCTTTTGTCATTTTCAATGCCACCAAGGTTGTCACCGAGTTCCAATGGTTTGAATTTCTTTTGTTGTGCTCCCTTCCTAATTATTTTTTTTAATATAATTTATATATTGTTTCAAAGTTGATAATTGATAACTAATATATATATATATGGAGAGCTTTGTTTTTTGTTGGTTAAATATTTTTTAAAATTAATAATTAAAAATTAATTTACATTTAAAGAATATGACTTTTATTGATCAAATTTTATTTTAATACAGACAAAAATTGAATATGACATCATCAAATCGATCCCACTTTTCATAATATATATAACTAATTACTTGTTAAAAAAATATTAATTTTTTCATGAATGTTTTAATTTACAACTTTACGTGATGTTAGTGTTGGCTCCACCTACTCACCTAGACTAACATAATATTATTTAATTTTATTGTTTTCAAAAATTATAGTACTATAATGTGATGACATAACTAGGGGAAGAGGCAAAAATTTGGCCTAAGGATCAATTTTTTTTTTAACATATATAAAAATATTTTAACATAATAATTTATTATCATTTATAATTTTTTATTTCTCTTTTTATCACATTATATATCAATCTTACATATATTTCTCTTTTTTTTCTTAAATATAAATTAACATGATAATTTTCATCTATTAATCTATAATATTTTTTATAAATTTTAGGAGGATTAAAAAAATTTAAAATAAATTTAATAAATTTTTAAAAAAATTGAGGGTTGGGGTGGGAGAGAGGGAACGACCTATGGCCTCTCCTATCCTATGCCATATTCTGCCAAGTCAAATGCCACCACCATTCATTAAGTTTTTTTGTCATAATGCTTATTCCGCGTTCCTTGTTGACTTTAAATTCATTGTTTCATTAAAAATAAATAAATATCAATCATAAAAAATTAAGAGTTTTTTTGTTGTTGAGATTTTGATAAATTAAATTTGAAAGAATTGAAAAAACTTATCCATATTTCCGAAACATAACTTAGAAGTTGTTCTGAAGCAATGTCAATAAAAGATAAAAGCTTTATAGAGAACAAAAGAAGAGGGTAGAAAAAGAATTAGAGAATTAAGAGGGAAAAAATATAGAAAAGATAAAAGGGAGATCCAGAATTTCATTCATATAAAGGACATTTATACAGGTGAATAGCAGAGTTCTAACACAACAAATCCTTTATTGTATTACAATCTATGAATTTTATTTATCATGTAAACAAATAAATTACTTTAAAAACACTTAGGTTATAAAAATCCTTATGTTAGTACCCGACTGCACGTGAATCATGTTAGCTTTTTTTTTGGTAAAAGAAGGGGCTAAACGCCCAAAGGAAATAAAATTAAGCAGCACCAACAAGGTCTGCCGATAGTAAAGAATGAAAGAAACTAGGAGGGGAAAAGAAGACTGTTAGCTCCTCCTCTATCCAAAAATTATGTTTAGCTAACCTATCTGCCACAATGTTGGCTTCTCTAGGAATGTGAATACACAAAAAGGATGAAAAATGTAAAGATAATTCCTGGATTTGTTGGGTAAGACCAAAGCAAGGATGGTGACGAGCACACCCTTCCTCAATTAGTTTAACTGTTTCAGCGGAGTCTGATTCACAAATGATAAGGCTTCTAGAATAGCGTTCTTTGATGATAAGAAGCCCTTGATATATGGCCCATAATTCAGCCTTGAGGATTGAAATGCAACCTAGTTTTTTTGAGAAAGTGAGTAGAAAGTTGCCTGATGAATCACGTTCCACAAGCTCCGATTCCATCATTTGACACGGCTCCATCCCCATTTAATTTAATGTGACCTATAGGCAGAAACCTCCAATGAGTATCTTGGCGACCACACAGAGGATCACTCAATAAAGAATTATTTGTGTGGCTGGAGATTATTGTCATAACACGAGCATTGATTCCCTTTACCACCTGTTCAGATGAAGAGAAGGAATTGTCGAATACCATTTTGTTTCGTCTAATCCAAAGGGAGTCTAGCGTGACAGCGAACAATATTGGCCAGTTCACGTGAAATGGCCTTCTTTCCTTTAGGTTAGCATGAACCCAATCATGAATATTATCTTCAGCGAATGATCTGGGCAGAGAACCCCCTGAAGCTCTATACCAGATTTCTGTCGCAAATTTGCAATCTCTTAGGGCGTGAAGGTTGCTTTCAGTTCCTTGCATGCAAACCGGGCAAGTTGGATCAGTCCCTAAACCTCGATCGACCCTTACTTGGTTTGTCATTAGACTTCCATGCACCACTCGCCATAAGAGGACTCGTATCCTTTCTGGGCCGTTCCATCTCCATATTGCTTTAAAGGCCGGGGGGTGAGAAATTGTATGAGAGGAGGATGCAATTGTAAATGCTGACTTCGTAGTAAAAACTCCATCCTTAGAGGGGCCCCACAGCACGACATCCTGCCCATAGTCATTAGTTGGAAGGGGGAAGTGATATATACTCTCTAAAATGTTTTGAGGAAGCCATGATTGGAGGTGGTCAATCTGCCACGTGCCCTAACCTGAGGTATATTCGTGGATCGTCTTGAACAGCTCCACCGGGGGATGAAGGAGCTTTTATAAGGATCTACTTATTATTTGAGTTTCTTAAACAATCAATAATAATTTACAGACGAATTTTATGTATGACCATGATTGTGAAGCCACCGAAACCAACTTTGAAACTATTCGTTTAAACTAAAAAGTGGAAGACATGACTATAATTGAGATTTGATAAAAGAGAAGTTTTTTTTCATAATTATCATTCTTGAAAATTATAAATATCGAAAATGATTATTTTTAAAAATAATTAAAATTTGTTTAACTATTCATAAATATTTCTAAAAATATTCACACAACATTCTTAATAATTAAATTTTTTTATATTTGATTACAACAGTATATTCCTAGATATATAATATTTTTTACAAAAATATATTTTATTAAAATAATTTCATTAAATATATTTATTTACTCAAATCTTATTACAAATATGACAATAAACTATTTTAAAAAGTTGAAAACTTATAGTTAAAATTATTTAAATACAAAATTTAACAAAAAGAAATAAATAAAGAAAATATTATATAATAAATAAGAAGGATAAAAATATATTATTTCATTTCATTTAAATAAATAAATAAAATGTTATCAAATATTATTAAAGTGTAGAAACAAAATAGACTTTAATAATATTAGTAAAATTGATAATGTTAAAAAATAATGAGATACAAGAAAAAAAAATAGAGATATGATAGGGAGAGGGAAAGGAAGAGGAAGAGAGGAAAAGTGAGAGTGAGAGTGAGAGAGAAAGAGAGAGAGAAAAAGAAATAGAAGATGGAGGGAGAGGAGAGGGGGAGAGAGAGAGAGGAAGAGTGATAGGGAGAGGAGAGGGGGAGAGACACAGAGAGAGAAAAATAGAAAAAGAGATTTTCTGTTTTAAATGGGATACTGTTATCTTTTTATATATATAAAAAAACAAATTCCTAACTCAAAATTGTTGGATTTTCATCCCATAGAAATGTTTTTGTAAGAAATTGAGACAAAAATGGTTCATAAAAAAATATATTCTTAAAAAAAATTAAAATAGTTACCAAATATAAGAAATCAAAATTCTTGATTTAAAATTCTTAAGGAAGTAAAAAGATTTTGTATATCAAATATCTCCTGTAATACCATATTAGATTGCGTAATTTAAATGAATACTTTTATAAATGCTTATAAAAAAAAAGATAAAATGAATTAGTTTTTTTTAATAAATTAAAATTAAATCATATACTTTAACTTTTAGATAAAATAGATGAGATAACTTTAAAAGTGATACTAAATATTTTTTTTTTTACTTGTACTTCAGATAATTTTTAATTGATTGATAGTGTAAATTTTTTTTTAACAATACTCTTAATTTCAGTTTTAGAAAAAGGTAGTAGAAACATGTGAATTTAGGTTCAATTCTATTTTCATTATCTTTGTAATATTTTCTATATTTATAAAAATATATATATAATAAAAGTTTGCGTAATTTTAACTTCTTAATTTTTTTCCGTCAATGAAGAATTTTATTCTAATTAGGTCAAACTTTATCCACTAACGGACGGTGCTTCATTGATTGAAGAGGATTTTCCCTTCCAGGCAGGAACATTTTCCTTGTTTTAAGCATGAACCATGTGTTTTTACACAACTTTCAATAGAAACTACACTACGTAATTCAAGAAATTGTTTACAGTTTTGTTTGCTGCGAGATTGCTAGCACCTTGCAGGATCAAAAGTAATCTATTATGAAAAAATTGGGGATGATTTCCCTTCAAAGGTGAATAGGCAAAACTATATTTTCTCCAGCATTTAAATTCAATATTCTCTCTGCCAGTAACATGTCATCAGGCGTAGTCACCTGCAAGATAGCTCACAATGAGTTTATATATTTTGTAACAGACGTTACTACATGTTTCAATGCTAGTGCTAGTGTAAGTATTCTTTTTAGCAAAGGTATATATATATGTAAATAAAGTTAAATCCAGGAAAATCTTTTTGCTATTGGTTAAATAAATATAAAATAAGTCAAATATTTTTAAAGAGGACAAGATTTTGGACCAAATATGTTAACGGAGGTATGTTTATAACAAGAAATAATTCAAGTTCAAGATAAAATAAGTAAAAGAAATTCTACCAAAATAAATTGCTATCCATCAAGCTTCCAATAGAGAAGGAATAGGGGGAAGTTTGCCTACCTTAATATTTGTATAAGACCCTTCAGTGACATAAACAGGATGTTTTAGGTGCTCAACAATGGACACATCATCAGTAACTTCAAGACCTTCTCTGTAAGGAAGGTTGCCATAAAAAACCAGTTAGATTATGAGAAAGAATGTATCTTCTAAACATTGTTGCAAATAATGAAACCAAATTATCTATAGTCTGTACTTGTTACTACATATTCCAATTTGGTAGTGGGTGTGACTCATCCAATTATCCGACAAGTGCCACTACGACAGTATATTTCATTCTTTGATTTCGTGCATAACCGAATAATAAGATACTTCTCTTAATGTGCACACATAGTTGCAATTAAATGAAGCATAAGAATGAGAAACTACCTATGTACTAGCTCAAAGCCTTTCTTAAGCAACTCGGGCTTGATAACCTGTAAAAATGGATACATCTAAGTAATTGACAAAGTTCACAAACAAAGATGAGATATATATTATTAGTGAGACCTGTGGGGTCTGCATCTCCCATAGCGTTTTTCTGTCCAGTGTTTTAACTACAAATGATTCACTGTTTGCCTGCAGAAAGATTGTTAGACAAATTTCAGTACATTTACCCATCACAGGAAAGGGTCTAAATTCATGCATATTCAGAAAAAAAATTTAAGACATTCTTGTATGCACAATTATTCCTATAGTTATTGGCTTATTGCTACTTCTATCAATGTATAAACAAAAAACGCATCTGAGATAAAAACTTGTCCATAATTGTGAAGGGAACAACTAACTTCCATACATACACAAGTGTGAACCTAAACTTCCAAGTTAATTTAGAAGGAGAATTTTAAAAATTAAGCTTGTGGATCAGCTGACATAAAAAATAAAAAATAAAAAAAACCAGAGAGTCAACACAAGCAGAGGAACGAAGAAAGAATATAGCTGCAAATAAATAAATAAAACAGAAAAACATATTTTTATGTGAGAGGAAGACAAACTAAATTCATTAAACCACGTCTTCTTTTAAGATACGTAGGGAAGAGGAACTGATAGGGAAAAAAAAAGGTTTGAAGATAAATGTTAATTGTTGGAAATCAGAACAGAAAGTATTTTAAAGTTTAGTGTTTCTGAACTAATTTGTTCGAGCATCAGCAACCCTGTTGAACAGTAATCCGTTATCAAGAGGAAATGTATAGATGTGGACTCTTGCATAAAATTGTTTATCACTTGGATTTGAAATTTTCTACAGAATTCTTTCTTTGGATGGGGGGATATCATATTCCCTTCTATAGAAAAAGAAAATTCATCAACCACTTCAATTATTTGATGGAACTGACATAATCATGCTAACAACTAGCAAATACCTCTTTGATTGTGGCCTTCACAGGGACGCCAAGAACAGCAGCTCCGTACAATAATCCATCTTTAAGGACCTAAACACAGAATACAAATGAGTAATCTAAGCATCCTCTTATATGAATTTATTGAATTGTAAATGGAGAGAGAGCCCCTAAGGGAAGGAGGGGGTGGGCGAGTTAACCAATAGGCATTCAGAAGAATTTGAAAAATGCTCCTGACCAAAAACAGACAAACTGTGCATTTAAATCCAGTAAATAGTACAGGCACATAATGTCACTATGTGGATCCAAATAACATGAGCATTTCTATCAGGAGTGTGCCATCAGAGATGGTTAACATAACATGACTACTACTTTGAAGTGTCTGTGCGTCCCTGACTCTAACATTAACATAAATATAAAGTTGTCATTTTCTGACTTCATCAATTCTCAAAGACAAGAATTTTTCCGTACCTCACTCACACCAGACTCATGTAATATTGTTGAGTTTCCTTCATGAATATGTAACTTTAAGAAAAATCAAATGCAATGGACTTAAACTTGTGGAAACATTACCTTTTTCACATCTCCTGATAACACCAAAGGCCTTGCAGAATCGTGAATGCAAACAAGGTCAGAGTTTGGATCAACAGCCTGCAAAAACAGAAAAAAAAAAAAAAAAAAAAAAAAAAAAAAAAAAAAA